TGTTTAGCGTCCCTTTGGGAGATGTACCGTTTAAATGATTTAATGTAAAAAATACTTCCAAAACGTTATGAAATTTTTTCTATAACATAGATGTATGCTTCAATGTTAATTCTTCCAATCTTGTGATTTATCGAGTTCGATTTTAATTATTACAATTAAATTCACACGATATGTTCCTAATTTTCATAAAGAATGAAAATTTTGTGAAATATAGTAAATAAATCAAATAAACACCATATTTTGGAATGGAGTACTAAATATCATATGTGGATAGAGGAAAAAGAATGAAGGGAAAAACAAGAAATTTGGTTGAATTTTGCAGTGTTGGGAAAATACACTCGGTAAAAGATAGTGTTTACCGAGTGTATTGGCCCAACACTGGTAAAAAATTTCATGTTTGCCGAGTGTATGATCATAACACTCGCAAACATGTCATGCCTTGACGCCGTTTGGGCACGGTTGCTATCCTAGGTGACGTGGCACGCCAATACCGAGTGTGACCGCTTTTTACCGAGTGCACCCCTTCGGTAAACTTGTGGTTTTACCGAGTGTCTGAGTATACCGAGTGTGCTGACTCGGTAAAGCGGTTGACTACCGGGTGTTTATGTTTTTCGAGTGTTGGCACTCGGTAATCACTTTTTTCCGAGTGCCCCGACTTTTGACACTCGGTAATTGTCGGGACACTCGGTGACTACACAGTCTCCGGTAGTGTAGGTACCGACTGGGGAATCCTTCAATCCGACAGGAGATGATATGATGTACCCTTGCAATGTCGTCCTCGCTGCAGTGCATCGTCGTTGCTACGCTCTTGTCCAGATTTGCAAAAAGACCAGACGCCAAGCCGAATATCTGGAGGGTCGACCTCAGCACCAACAGGTCATGTTCATTGGGAGCCACGAAGAGGACCAGGTCATCGGCATTAGCTACTAAACTTTAGTCAGTTTAGCTACTAAACTACTAAATAAATTGACTAAAAAGAGACTAAAGTAGTTTAGTCACATTAGTCATCTAAAAATAGTTAAAAGTGGGCTAAAGTGCCCAGTGGATAAGGGGTGTCCCTCATTATTGCTGGTCCCCCACCCTGATTTGAACATTCATTAAAGGTAGTTTGATCTTTGTTGAACTGTTTTAATGGTCTTTAGTCACTTTTTTTTACCACCGAACGCACCTCATCCTCGGTGAAGAGATCTTCCAAACCACTGAGCTCCAGCGACGGCAACCCGATGGCGCCCAAGTTGATTCTCCTCGATCGTTCGAAACTGGATCCCAAGATGGCATTGTAATGCTCGTACAGGGCCTGTGCCATCAGGTCGTCCCTGACAACCTCACTTCCATGTACCGTGAGGGAGTCGATCCGGCTTTTCCGCTTCCGGTGGCATGCTTGCAGGTGGAATTTTGTATTGGCGTCTCCTTCGGCTAGGAAGAGAAGCCGTGATCTTTGCCTGGCAATAGCTCTGGCCAGCGAAGCCAAGCCAAGAATTCTCAGCTTCAGCGACCTCCGCAGCTCCGCCTCTTGCACAGTTAGGGTTCTGTAGTCTTGAGCCTCATCGAAGCGAAGCACGACCTCACGTGCCAGCGCGAGCTGGAACCTGACATTGCCAATCTTGGTGGCACTCCAGCTCTGCAAAGCCCGGGCCACATTCCGTAGCTTGAAGTCAATCAAGCGGAAAGGGTCGGTGTTGATCAACGACCGCGACCACGCAAGGGCCACGACATCTAAAAATCCTGGCAGCTTGGTCCAGAAAGACTCAAACCTAAACCTCCGCTTGGCCCCATGAGAAGTGTCGAGCTGCAGCAGCAACGGACAATGGTCCGAGCAGTCTGTAGACAGAGGCTTGAGACAGTGGTACGGGAAGGCCACGAACCAGTCCACCGACGCCAGGAAGCGATCCAACCTTTCAAGAGTCGGGCGTTCACGCTCGCTGGACCATGTGAAACGCCTCCCAACCAGAGCGATCTCCTGCAAGTGGGCCATGTTGATGAACGCCGGAAATCTTCTCATGTTACGACGATCAAGCCGATCATTGTTTTTGTCTTCGGCTTGGTAAATCATGTTGAAGTCGCCACAGAGGAGCCAAGGCCCATGATTTACCTCTCTGAAATGTAGGAGCTCGTTCAGGAACTCAACTTTCGCGTCATCATGCTGTGGCCCATAAACCACCGTGATCCACCAAGGGACCGGTGACCCTACTGGAGTTAGCTTGGCCGACATGGAGTAGCGCCCCTTCACCACTCCAGAAGCAGTCCAGTGATCTCTATGCCACCCAAGCAGGATACCCCCAGAAACATTGATGGCCGGGACATAGTCATAGTCAAACATGGTACCTAAAGTTTAATTAGCCATAGCAGTACATAACGTGGAGAGCTTCGTCTCCTGAAAACAAACGACAGTGGCCCGCTGCTGCACCAAGAATTCTCTCACAACGTTACAACGTGCGCGGCCGTTGAGCCCCCGCACATTCCATACAAAGTAGCATGAGTTCGATGACAATGGAAACTAAAGAGCGACAGCGGTGAGGGTGACGTCGGGGCTAAATTGCCACCTCGTCCAACCCGAGCATGTTCGTTCGTTCATGGCCACCGGGTCAAATTGCCCACCGAAGAGAAGCTGCAGCGCCTCTTGGTTGGACTCAGATACCGATTCTCTAAAAGTGGTCTTGTACTTACGTACCGTCTCTGAGTCGACAGCGGGCGAGGGGCCCGCCACTCCCAGCTTCTGCATCAGAACTAGCTGAGCTTGCTTGGTGGAGTCAGCTTCACGTGGCATGACAACAATGCGCACACTGCGCCGCAGCGACTGAACATGTGGCGGTGTCCGAGGTCTACGTAGTCTGGGTGGCCCGTGGACAAGTGGCGTCGGAGGCATAGCCGTTCCTCCAAACCTTCCTGAATCATGGCTCGAGTCGCCTCGGGCGACGCAGCTGGACCGCCATCGTCATCGCTCCAAGAGCATATAGGCGCGCCCAGCTCCACAGACTCCATGAGGTTAGGCTGCAAAGACATTCCCCCCACCTACAAGGCAGGCGCACTTAGGGCTTGTTTGGTTCAAAGCCTGGACCAAATTTTCCTGGGTGAAGAGGTGCCTGGGTGCTGCTTGTGCTTCATTTGGTTGGGACCCTAGATAGCTAACTGGGCTAGACAGGGGCTGCCTCAGCCAGGCGACCGAAAACGAGCGCCTGGGTGCAACGCCGATGTTGCCTAGGTGGGCTCTGTAGTGCTGTCTTATCAGTGTCTTTTTCTCCTTTATTTATATTATTACTTTGTTGTACGCTATAGTTCCTTGATGAAATGAGTGAGACTCTTATTTCTATTTCCTATTGTTCATCTGTGATAGGTGCAACCGAGATACATTTAGTACATTTTATTCTGTTTATTCCTTAATCATATGAATGAATTATTAGGAAAATAAAATATTAAAAGTATTTATATTTTATATTACTTTATTAAAGGTTTTATTTATATTATTTTTGTATTATAATAATATATATTACTCGAATGATGCTAAAGTTTTATATAGAAGAAAATATATTTTCTTTTTTATTAAACTTTCAAGCAAATTCCATCGATTTTTCAGACAACTTTTAGGCAACATTTGCCCTTACTCTATTAGCATTCTCAGGCACAGGTCTCCAACCAAACGGATCTTCTTCAGACTTGCCTAGTCAGGCAAAAATCATCAACTTTCCAGAGCAACCCTCAGGCAACACTTTTTGTCAGGCAAGTCCTCCGGTCTCCAACCAAACAGGCCTTCTTGCTGGACCTCCAGTGACACAAGTAAAGTGCTGGCGACCGCTAGCGCCCCCACCGCCTGCATGGACGGCGTCCCCGGCGCCTGGGGCATCCGCGGCGCGGACCTAGGGCATCCTCTCCAAGAAGTGACACAGGATCAGGGGAGCATGGGCCGCCAACCACCAGGCCAAGTGCTGAACCCTGCTCTGCCGTCCCCACCATGAAGCCCGACATGGACTCCAACGGGGGGTGCGCGCGCTCGTGCCACCACCATGAAGCCCGAGAAGCCCTGCCCGTATCGTTGACGACGGTGGTGGCGCGCCTGGCGGCGACGCCCATCAGCAGCAGCGACGACCTTGCCCTTCCCCTCAGGAGGCGGTGAGGGAGGCTCAGAGTCGGAGTAGTCCTCGGAGTCACTGAAGGAGATCCAGTCATCACAGCCGAACTCTAGATCCGACGACGACAGGCTCCCACCGAAGGCCGCCGCGCCCGGGAAGAGACCTAGGGACCCCACGCCAGGGACCGTGGGGAAGGGAGCTCGTCGTCGGCCTCATCCGCCCAGGAGCGGCGAGAAGGAGAGCCGTTCTCCATAGCTGAGCACGAGAGATCGAGGAAAGCGGGTGGCCACGAGGAAGGGGGAGGGCGGAGCGGCAGGGAGGCGGTCGGCGATGGCCAGGGCAGCCACCGTCGACGGGAGGAGCAAGCGAGGAGTGTCCGGCTCAGATCTGGTGGTGGTCCAGATCCAGCCCGCACGGGGTACAAGGATGGGCGAAAAGGAGGCGGGAGGGACAGGAGGGGTAAGGAGGGAGGCCACCGGAGCCGGAGCAGCAACCAGTGGGAGGCTGGTGGCCGGCAGCGGCCAGGGTGGCCGCAGGCGGAGGGAGGGAGGGGGCTATTCGGGGGAGCTCAGCTCACTCAAAGACCTACTCTATGCCCCGTATAGCTACCCGAGGAGCCAGGCTTGGTTAATCCAATGCCGGGCAGAGAGCTTCCTTAGAAGATCCCCAAACGTACGTACACCTTGGTTAATCCAATGCCAGGCAGAGAGTCTTTTTTTTTTAAGGCAGCAATATATATATTCATTAATTGAAACGTTCGTTACACAGGATGGCTTTAATGAGCTCTGGAGTACATCCATTACATTCATTAGCTACTTTAGCCATCACATGAGCTGCCTGGTTACACCACCTACTGATATGGATAAAAGAGATTGAACTCCCAGTAATCTCCTGAACAATGACACCAACATGTGGCCTATCCATTACAGGAAATTATATCTTGTTGATAAGATTTAAGCAGTCGAAGGCCACTAATACTCGATGAAGAGTATGCTCCTTTGCAAAATACACGGCATAACGAAACGCCAAAGCTTCTGCCATTTCAGCATCTGTAATTCGATCAATTTTATGGCAGAAAGCAGCTACAAAAGACCCTGAATGGTCTCTAATCACAATACCAATGCCCATCCGTGGTGGATCCTCAAAGGTGGCCGCATCCACATTCACCATTAGCCATCCATCCGGCGGCGGAACCCATTTTACTATGGATAAATTAGGTTCACACCCGTGAGATGTAGATGGTTTAAACATGTGTAGGAAAACCATTTCAGTGTAAGCTTTTACCTTCTCGGCAATACAATGAGGATGGACCCAACTTTCTCCATTTCGAACAGCATTCCTTGCTTCCCAAATGTGCCAAACAGTGATAGTAAAGATCGTCAAAACTTCATCTAATGCTTCAGCAAGGAATTCAAAAAACCATTGTCTAATTGAATTAAAGGATCTGAGATTTCTTTTGATTCCATACTCCTTTACTTGTCGCCATACCTCATATGCATATTGGCACATAAGCAGAGCATGCTCAACAGTTTCTTCTCGCCCACAGAAGCAACATGCATATGGTGCTGGGATGTGTCTATGCTTAAGTTGCATTCCGGTCAGCAAACAATCATGAGCCATTCTCCAAAGTATTATTTTCATCTTTGCAGGAGCCTTGATCATCCAGAGTCGTTTCCATACCCTCTTTATTTTTGTCATATCAGAACTTTCCCCTTTTCCATTTATACTTAAGAATTTGTGGAATCCTTCCATTTTTGCCAAGTCGTAGGCTGATCTGACAGAGTAGATACCCTCTTTAGTATAAGGCCATGAAGGAAAATCTTCGCAATGGTTGTGGCATAATGGCAGTTGTAAGATTTGCTCAGCATCACTTGGATTAAAACACTCCTTAACCAGGTTCTTATTCCATGTCCCCTTAGCTTCATCTATAAGATAGCTTACTGTTGTGTCCGCCTGTAGATTAATAACAGGTTTAAGCACACCCAAACCTTAAATCCAGCGGTCTTTTATCAGTTGAATTTTCTTGCCATTACCCACTCTCCATATTGCACCCTTCTTCAATAATTCTCTTCCAAACATCAGACTGCGCCATGTGTAAGAAGAATTTCTTGGTTGTTTCGCATTCCAGAAGTCACCATGGGGGAAATACCTACCCTTAAGCACCTTAGCACACAAAGAGTTTGGTACAGTAAGAATTCTTCAACTTTGCCTTCCTAGCATTGCTTGATTGAATAATTCCATATCTCTAAAACCCACCCCCCAACAGCTTTTGGTGCAGTCAGCCAATCCCAGGATCGCCAATGCATTTTCTTTCTGCCATCCACGAAGCCCCACCAATGGTCAGATATAATTGATCTCAGCCTATTGCATACTCTGGGTGGAAGGCGGAAACAACTCATTACATATGTTGGAATTGCTTGAGCCACAGATTTGAGCATCACTTCTCTACCAGCTCTTGATAGTGGTCGATCACACCATCCTCTAATCTTTTTCCAAATCTGATCAGCTAGGAAATTAAAGGTGTTTGAAACAGACCTCCCCACCCAAGATGGCATACCAAGATAGGTTGATTGGAATGCTTCATTATGAGTATCAAGCCCGTTCTTTACTCTCTGTTTGATTGGATCAGGGCAGCGATCAGAGAAGAGGATCGATGACTTATTAAAATTAATTCGTTGGCCTGATCCATTACTATACACTTGCAATACATCATTTAAAGCTTGTACATTCTTTGCATCACCCCTTATGAAAAATATAGTATCATCAGCAAAAAGGAGGTGGGATACAGGAGGGCCAGTACTTCCATTTCTAACGCCTCTTAGATATCCTTGTTGCTCTTTTTTCTTCATCAAACTAGAGAGCCCTTCTGCACATAACAAAAATAAATAAGGGCTGATTAGATCTCCTTGACGTAGGCCACATGATGGACAGAAAGGTTCAGATGGCTTTCCGTTAACTTTAATTGCATATTTCACATTTGTCACACATCTCACGATTGTTGCAATAAATTCTTGGGCAAAACCAAGCGTGTGCATAATACCATTTAGATATTTCCACTCCACTCTATCATAAGCCTTCATCATATCCACCTTCAAAGCAAAGAAAGGTGTTTTAGCTTTCTGCTTCTTAATAGTATGGATGCATTCATATGCAATTAGAACATTGTCAGTTATCAAACGGCCTGGAACAAAAGCGTTTTGCTCTTCTGAAATTATGTCATTTAAAAATATTTTTAATCTATTGGCTAGAACTTTAGAAGCAATTTTATAGAGAACATTACATAAACTGATTGGACGGTAGTTTACCAAGTGTTTCGTCTTAGATATCTTAGGGATTAGCACAATTGTGGTATCACAAAGTCCCTCTGGAATGCTCTCGCCTTGAAGGAAACTTCTGACAGCCATGCATATATCATGCTTGAAAAAGTCCCAATGACGTTGATAAAAGATTGCTAGGAAGCCATCTGGGCCAGGCGCCATTGTTGGGCCTATTTGGAATAAAGCATCTTGAATCTCCTCATATGTATATGGTTTACATAATTCATCATTTATATTTTGGTTAATCTTTTGTGGGACTGCCTCTAAAATCCTGTCAATATCCTCGCATGATTCAGAAGTAAATAATTTCATGTAAAAATCATGGACCATACCTTGGAGTTCGTCTTGTTTTGAGCACTTTGTACCGTCTTCCCTTATAAGGTATTGTATTCTGTTAGTGTTTTTTCTAGCAGTAGCTCGAGCTTGGAAAAAAGATGTGTTTCTATCTCCCTCTTTCAGCCAATCAATCCTTGATTGCTGCCAAACCATAATTTCCTCACATTCCAACAGCTCACAAAGCTTCCTTTCTATTTCCTTCTCTTCAGTCGAATACCCCTGTGTGGCACATGAGGAACGAAGCAATGACATTCTCTTTTCAAGTTTTTGAATCTTTCTATGGATTGATCCAAAAGATCTAGAGCTCCACTGTTTTAATTTCTCAGCCATTTCATTAATATTTCGCCATACAGTTTGGAGGTCCCTATGACCATTCAACCCTTCAGTCCAGTTCTTCTCCACTACTTCCTTGTAGTCGGCTGCTCTTGCCCACATAGCTTCGTATCTAAAATTTTGGGTGACAGGTCTGTAATCCTTTGTGTCCCCTCCTCTACCAATTGATATCAAAATGGCATAGTGGTCTGAGGAGAAGGTGATTATATGATCTACATGGCAGTCATCGAAAAGTTGTAGGAACTGACCATTAACCACTGCTCGATCAAGGCGTACTCTCACATTATTAATACCTTCTTACCTATTATTCCACGTAAACTTTGGCCCTGAGAATCCTAGATCCAGGAGACCACAGTTCTCTAGGCATTCCCTAAAGAGCTTCATTTGTGATTCACCTCTTCCTGTTCTTCCCAAATGCTCATCACTACTTAAGGCTTCATTAAAATCTCCTGCACATAACCAAGGCCTGTTCCAGTGAGCTATAATAAAACGAAGAAGATTCCAGAATTGATAACGTTGTTCCGTTTTAGGTTCTCCATAAACAAAAGTAGATTTCCACACACTTCCATCTTCTAAATTTATTAGCACATCAATAATATTCATTGAGTAATGCTCAAGTGACACCACACATTCCTTAACCCAAAATAAAGCAAGGCCACCACTTCTTCTTCGCTACTGACAGCAAAGCAACCTGAAAATCCAAGGGACCACATTAAATTTCTCACTTTAGTATCCCTCATTTTGGTTTCCGATAAAAACAGGAGGGAGGGACGGTATCGCTTCACCAATTGGCGAAGCTCGTCAACTGTCGAGTCCGTCCCTAGGCCTCGACAGTTCCAACATAAGAGATCCATGGCTCCCGGCGGGGCTGGAGACCAGCCGCCGCCGATATACTTGGTTGCAAGTCTTGCTTCTTCTTCTGCTTCTTAAATAGTTCCTTTTCTTTTTCCTCAAGTCCCACTTCAGAAGTATCACCCAAAATAATACTAAATGATTCACTAGGTTGAGCCACAACCATAGCCATTTCCATCGAAACTACTTCTTTATCATCCTGTGCTGTCAGAGCTTTCAGTGAACCCTGCATTGAACTTCTTGTTTGTTTTCTTTTCTTGCCTTGGTTAAATGTGCTGGGGTTTTTTCCTTGCACAAATTTGTTCCTGCACTTTTAGAGGAATTAGTTCTTGTTCTAGTAGACCGTCTTAAAGGGATTGTGAATGTGTTGTCCACCTTGTGTGAACACAGCAGAGGAAGGCGGCGTCGATTTAGCCGTCTGCTGTGTGTGAACACAGCAAGGGAAGGCGGCGCCGACTTTGCCCCCTGCTGTGATACAGTAGGCGCTGCAGGTGTAGGCGCCGCATGGCTCACCTGTAGCACTGTAGGAACAGGCAGTGGCCGGCGCAGAGTCAGCCCTGTCAGGTTATCTAGTTACTGTGCCAGCATGGGCGCTGCACATGGACTAGATAGTTAGAGTTGTATAAATAGATATGTATGGCAACTCAGTGAAGAGAGCTCAGATTTGCCATCACACAGACAGGACCTCGGCCAACGCTGTTGTCTTGTATTGTGCGTGCTTGCTCTGTTCTCCCTTCTTCTTCTAAGCTCGTCTGTAGTGTGTGGGTACGGACAACGCCGGTACGTGGTCTGCACGGCTAGTGGGTGCTCGGCAACACTAGCGCGTGCTCGGCGAGACCATCAAGTGCTCCACTCGCCTAAGCCGGTGCTCGGCAAGATCGGCTGGAGTGGTTCACTGTCGTGAGCCGGTGATCCTGTGAGACCAACGGAGTGGTCTGGAGGCCATCTCGGTGGTCGGGAGGCTAACTGTGGGCCAACAAGTGGTATTAGAGCCGTACAAGCGCCGTCGTCATTCTAACCGATGGCGATGACAGACGGTTCGGAGTTGGGCGACGGCAGTGGCACTGTCGTGGCTGCCCAGGCACTACCGGATGTAGTTGTTCGCACGGTGCGGGAGGTCAGCGGCATCACTTGGCCGACGCTGACTCGCACTAACTATGGAGAGTGGTCGGTGACCATAAAGATCAAGCTCAGAGCCCGACGGCTCTGGAATGCTGTTGACAAGGGCACCGACGTGGAAGAAGACGACATGTCAGCATTGGAGGCTATCCTTGCTGCTGTACCGGTGGAGTATAGGGAACCGTTGGGGACGAAAGGCTCAGCTAAGGAGGCATGGGAGGCCATTGCGGCGATGCGCGTCGGTTCCGACCGCGCAAAGAAGGCGACGGCCCAGCTTCTGAAGCAGGAGTACGCAAACCTCAAGTTCAAGGATGGTGAAACAGTGAAGGACTTTTCCCTCCACCTACATACGCTCATCAGCAAGCGGAAGAGCCACGGCGTCACCATCGACGAAGAGGAGGCGGTCTCCAAGTTCCTCCACTCCGTGCCGACAAAGTACATCCAGATCGCTCTCTCCATAGAAACGATGCTGGACTTGTCCACCCTCACCATTGAGGATGTGGCAGGCCGTCTGCGGGCGGTGGACGAGTGCCTGGGGCAGGCGACAGCAACGAAGGACAGTGGGAAACTCTTGCTGATGGAAGAGGAGTGGGCTGCTCGGTGAAACTCTGGGAAGGCAGCCTCCTCCAGTCGCGGTGGCAAGGGCAAGCACCGAGACGGGGCTTCTTCAGAGAAGAAGCACATCGACTCCAACGCCTGTCGGTGTTGCGGGAAGATGGGCCATTGGGCACGGGAGTGCCCAAACCACAAGAAGGAAAAGAAGGCTCAGGCTCACCTGGCGAAAGCCGATGATGAGGATGAGGCCACTATCCTTATGGTGACGTTCTGTGCAATGCACGATGTCGAGGCCATGGAGAGGGAAGAGGCGACGACGGTGAAAGGACCTGGGAAGGCCCTGAAGATCGTCAACCTCGACGAACCACATGCCCAAGTTCACCTCGGGCGTGTGGGCGTCGACCAGGAGCAGCCGTGGTATCTGGACTCTGGTGCCAGTAACCACATGACGGGCTCCAAGGACTCCTTCTCCGAGCTCGACGGCGATGTTACCGGTACGGTGAAGTTTGGTGACGGCTCAAGGGTGGCTATCCAAGGGCGCGACACCATCATCTTCAGATGCCAGAACGGGGAGCACCACGCGCTAACGGATGTATACTACATCCCGCAGCTGCGTTCCAGCATCATCAGCATTGGCCAGCTAGATGAGCGCGGTAGCAAGGTTCTGATCAAGGACGGCGTTCTGAGGATCAGAGACCGGGAGTAGCGACTTCTCGCCAAGATGAAGAGGTCCCTGAACCAGTTGTACCTGCTCGACCTGAAGGTAGAGCAGCCGGTTTGCCTGGCGGAAAGGCACTCCGAGGAACCGTGGATGTGGCATGCCCGGTTCGGACATCTTAGCTTTGACGTGCTTGGTCGGCTTAGGAAGATGGTCCGAGGGCTATCCCACATCAAACACGGAGGCGAGCTGTGTGATAGCTGCCTGGCCGGGAAGCAGAGGAGGCTACCTTTCCCAAAGGCGGCCAAGTATCACGCGAAGGAAGCTCTCGAGCTAGTTCACGGCGACCTCTGTGGGCCGATCACGCCTGCTACATGCGGTGGTCGGCGGTACTTCCTCCTACTCATGGACGATTGCAGTCGCTACATGTGGCTACAACTCCTGACGAGCAAGGACGAAGCGGCGGTGGCGATCAAGAAGTTCAAGACGCGCGTGGAGGCCGAGTGTGGCAAGAAGCTCCGCGTACTGAGGACTGATCGGGGTGGTGAATTCACTTCGGTGGAGTTTGCTACGTACTGCGCGGATCAGGGTATGGGACAACATCACACCGCGTCATACTCGCCACAACAGAATGGCGTGGTGGAGCGACGAAACCAGATAGTGGTCGGCATGGCCCGATCCATGATGAAGGCCAAAGGGATGCCGGCAAAATTCTGGGGAGAGGCGGTGACCACGGCGGTGTTCATCCTCAACTGCGCTCCAACCAAGGCCCTAACGGGCAAGATGTCATTCGAAGCTTGGTATAGGAGCAAGCCAAACGTGTCATTCCTCCGGACATTCTGTTGCATCGGCCACGTCAGGAAGACGAAGCCAAACCTCACCAAGCTGGAGGACAAGAGCACACCCATGGTGTTCCTGGGCTACGCGGAGGGTACCAAGGCGTACCGGCTCTATGACCCACGCGGAGACAAGGTGATTGTCTCGCGCGACGTTGTGTTCAACAAGGAGGCGGCTTGGGACTGGAACAATCTAAGCACGGGGGAAGCAGGAGGCTTCCCCAACACCTTCGTCGTCGAGCACTTGGTCATCCACGGTGGTGGAGACGCTGCGGAACAGGTGCCACGCACTCCGGGAGGAGCGCCAAGCACTCCGGCGGTAGAGTCGAGCACTTCTGGGGAAGTGCCGAGCACTTTAGGAGGGATGCCGAGCACTCCGGGAGGAGCGTCGAGCACTTTTGGAGGGATGCCGAGCATGCCAGGAGTGGAGCCAGGAGGTTCTGCAGTGGTGGCGACCACTTCAGGACGGGAGCCAAGCACTCCCGTGGTAGAGCCAAGACGTCTTACTGTGGTCCCAACCACTCCAAGACTGAGGCTAGGCACTCCTACAGTGTGGCCGAACACTACAGGAGTTATGATGAGCAGTCCAGAAGCAGTGCCGAGCACTTCGGGTGCTATGTAGGGCACTCTGGCGGAAGAAGGAACTCCATCACTCCCGATTGAGTTTGCCTCACCTCTAAGTGACATCACTGAGTTCGTGGACGCCTACCACAAAGGTGAGGAGTTGAGGTTCCGCAGGCTGGATGACATTGTTGGTGGCACAGGTCCCTCAGGTCTGGCGGGTAGGCTGCTCAACGACATAGAGCTGCTACTCGTCAGTGCAGAGGAACCACCCACGTTCGCGCTAGCCAAGCGTGATGGAAACTAGCGACGGGCGATGCTGGAGGAGATGAAGGCGATCGAGGAAAACGAGACTTGGCAGCTCATCGATCCACCTCCAGGATGCCGTCCGATCAGCCTGAAGTGGGTATACAAAGTCAAAAGGAACGAGCTCGGCGCCATTGTCAAGCACAAGGCGTGCCTCGTCGCCCGAGGCTTTGTCCAGCGCGAGGGCATCGACTTCGAGGAGGTCTTTGCGCCAGTAGCGCGCATGGAGTCGGTCCATTTGCTACTTGCTTTGGTGGCAGCAAAGGACTGGCGCGTCCATCACTTGGACGTTAAATCGGCCTTCCTCAACGCTGAGCTAGCGGAAACGGTCTTCATCAGGCAACCTCCAGGGTTCGCTGTCAAGGGAGAGGAGCACAGGGTGCTCCGACTGCGCAAAGCGCTCTATGGGCTGCGGCAAGCCCCTCGAGTATGGAACGCCAAGCTTGACGCCATGCTGGGTGAACTTGGGTTTCAAAGGTGCGCAACCGAGCACGCGCTCTACACGCGACGACGGGGGAAGGAAGAGCTCGTGGTCGGCGTGTGTGTGGATGACTTAATCGTCACCGGCGCGCGCACGGAGGATATCAACAGCTTCAAGCGAGAGATGGCAGCTCGTTTCCGAATGAGCGATCTCGGCGCTCTCTCCTACTACCTCGGCATCGAGGTGAGATAGGGGAAGGAGGAACTCACGCTCGGGCAAAGCGCGTATGCCTCCAAGCTGTTGGAGAGGAGCGGCATGGTGGAGTGCAAGCCATGCGTGACTCTGATGGAGGAGCGACTGAAGCTGACGAAGGCCAGCACTGCGGCGAAGGTGGATGCAACACTCTACCGGAACATCGTCGGCGGTCTACGCTACCTAGTCTACACGAGGCCGGACATTGCGGTCGTCGTGGGCTACGTCAGTCGCTTCATGGAGGATCCCAGAGAGGATCACTGGGCTGCGGTGAAGCGGCTACTACGCTACGTCAAGGGGACGGTGAATCATGGAATCATCTTCCCAAAGACCGGCGGGAGTAGGCTGCAGCTCACGGTATTCAGCGATTCAGACATGGCGGGGGACATCGACGGACGATGGAGCACCTTTGGCGTGCTCGTCTTACTCGGGTCAGCCCCAATTTCATGGCTGTCACTGAAACAGAAGATGGTGGCGCTATCTACGTGTGAGGCAGAGTACGTAGTGGCGGCCACAGCGGCGTGCCAAGTTGTGTGGCTACGCCGGCTGCTGGGCGAGCTGACCGGCGTGGAAGCTCACCCACCAGCACTGATGGTGGACAACCAGCCCGCCATCGCCCTCGCGAAGAATCCGGTTCTGTACGACCGGAGTAAACACATCGACGTAAAGTTCCACTTCCTCAGGGACTGTGTTGATGGAGGGCAAATCGTCATCGAGTTCATCGAAACTGCTCGGCAGCTCACAGACGTTCTCACCAAGCCGCTTGGACGACTTCGACTCACGGAGCTAAAGGAGATGATCGGCATGGAGGGGGTACAAGGGTTAGCAGTAGGATTAGGGGAAGATTATTAGCTAATCTACTGCCACCTTATGTGAACACAGCAGAGGAAGGCGGCGTCGACTTAGCCGCCTGCTGTGTGTGAACACAGCAAGGGAAGGCGGCGCCGACTTTGCCCCCTGCTGTGATACAGTAGGTGCTGCAGGTGCAGGCGCCGCACGGCTCACCTGCAGCACTGTAGGAACAGGCAGTGTCCGGCGCAGAGTCAGCCCTGTCAGGTTATCTAGTTACTGTGTCAGCATGGACGCTGCACATGGACTAGATAGTTAGAGTTGTATAAATAGACATGTATGGCAACTCAGTAAAGAGAGCTCAGATTTGCCATCACACAGACAGGACCTCGGCCAACGCTGTTGTCTTGTATTGTGCGTGCTTGCTCTGTTCTTCCTTCTTCTTCTAAGCTCGTCCGTAGTGTGTGGGTACGGACAACGCCGGTACGTGGTCAGCACGGCTAGTGGGTGCTCGGCAACACTAGCGCGTGCTCGGCGAGACCGTCAAGTGCTCCACTCGCCTGAGCCGGTGCTCGGCAAGATCGGCTGGAGTGGTTCACTGTCGTGAGCCGGTGATCCTGTGAGACCAACGGAGTGGTCTGGAGGCCATCTCGGTGGTCGAGAGGCTAACTGTGGTCCAACATTCTCATCGTTTGCATCATTCGGACTGGAAAATTGATGTGCAGAATTGTCCGTACTTTTAACCTGATTATTTAGTGTTCTGAGATCAATTGCACCTGACATTGATTCTTGGCCACTTGTGCCACCACTCTTCCCTGCTGAGATAGAGCTCTGGCCATTTACATCATCAGAAGGCCTTTTCTTTCTGTCATCTGGAACTCTCAGATCTCCACTATAAGGGAGCATGCCATCTGCATCTCGCTCAGCTGGTGTAAGACACTCAACAGAGGAATGTCCAATAATTCCACATGAGTAGCAATAATTTGGTAATTTCTCATATCGCACCTCATACCATTCCTTTACTTGTCTTTTGGTTGAGAAAATTGAAACGCCCCTCATAAGAGGTTTTGTTATATTGATCTGTACCTTTGCTCTAAGGTAAGCTCCCCATGCACGGTCCTGATCATCCACATCTAATTTTTCAACAGGCCCTATTTTCTTTGCAATCACATAACCCCATTTTCCATTCATCAGACCATAAGGAATATTATAAATCCTCACCCAAATCGACATATGATCAAAGTAAATATCAGATGGCCTCACAGAAGCATCAAACTCCTGAACTAAAACGCCGGGCCGAGAGTCTTAGTGATATATAATACAACTTGAGATCATGGCAAAGATCAAAGGACCTTAGGCATACACCTTGGGCAGAATGCTGACATGAGGGATAAGCCATTGAGGTTATATGAACAAACACCTCTCATGTATGTCTGTGTAGATGCTGCTTGCTGCATCGTGAGATGGGAGACACGAACTGTAACACCTCATCAGGGAGGACGTCACTAAACGTCCCTTGTCTCAAGCTAGAGGACAAGACTCAGTGGCATAAACATAAATAATATAAATAGTGGAAGCAACAACAACAGAAAAAATATAATCATGAAAAAGGTTCCACCACAAACGTTATTAATAACGATAATGCTACGGCACGGGCGTCCGTCCCGTGACCTGCGCCGGGACGCGGCTCCCACACCTGCGGAGGACCCAGCTCCATCTCTTAAAAACAAAAACAAAAATCCCTACTCCTCATCCGCTCATCTAGAGCGACAGGCCGTCCCCGAGCCCCCGAGGCCGCGACGCAAGATTCCGCCTCCGACTTCGAGCACGAGCACTGCCACCTTGAGCACGGAGGCCGAGCCGCCCGAGAGGCACCCGCCGGCCGCTACACCGCGCCCCTGCTGGCAAATCCACTGCGCCGCTCGCCTTCTCTAGCCACCCCCATCCACCTCACGCCTTCTCTCCAACCCGGCGCCCTTCTCCAGCTCGCCTTCTCCAGCCCGGCGACCTTCTTCAGATGGGTGCGCCGCACTCGGCGCCCATCCAGCTCTCCTCCGTGCCCCACGCCACGTCCCCATCCACCTCGCGCCATCGTGGCCATGGTGTGTACCACGGCCAGCCGAAGACAACGCGGCAGGAAGGGGAGGCATGTGCCTGTGCCTGCATGTATGCTAGGCAGCTCTCGATGTCCCCCTGACTCGAGCTTGCTAGCTACCGCAGTTCCCTGCCAGGTAGGCCATGGTCGCCGGCGATGCCGTGTTTCAAGTGTTACATGCGTTGTTCCAAGTGTTTCATCTGGATGTTGCAAAAGTAGATCTGGGATGTTGCATATGTTGCAATAACAATATACATATGTTGCAAGCCTATGTTTCAAGTGTTTCAGATGTTTCAGACGTATATTTCAAGTGTGTCCATCTGGATGTTGCATATGCTGATATGGCTCTACCCATATGTTTCAAGTGTTTCATATGTTTCAAACTTATATTGCAAGTGTTTCATCTGGAGTTGCAAAAGTAGATCTGTATGTTGCATATATTGCTATGCCTATACACGCATGTTTCAAGTGTTTCATCTGTTTCAGATGTATGTTGTAAATGTTTCATCCGGATGTTTCAAAAGTAGTTCGGGTCTTTTTACACGGCCGGTGGTCGGCGGACGAGAGCCTCACCATGACCACATTGTCACTGTCAGGGGCACAACCGGGGTCAACCCATGGGGTTTCGTGCGGGCGCAGGGGTGGGCGTGGGGGCGTGGGTTCTACGACGGACATGGGTGTTGATGCTAGGCAGGATGCGGGACGCGAGGGCATGGGGTCTGCATCCGGACATCCAGGTGCTAGGCCTTCCGTATTAATAAACCATGAGGGTCACCATGGTTCTAAGTTCATTACAATAAGGCAAAAACATCAATGTTACTATAACCCCGTTCGCTGGTCTGAAATTTGACTGAAACTGGCTGAAAAACACTGTTCCGGCTAAAAAAACAAGCCGAACAAGCCGATGCACTACTCTACTTAGTTAATCTAAAGCCCATGCACTACTCTACTTAGTTAATCTAAAATCTACTCGAAACAAAGGCATAGACTTAATGCAGTTTATAACAAAATAGGCATGTCATAGAACATAAAGCCTATATGGCTTCAAGCAAACACTTCAACCCAACATCTTGAAGCGCAAGCTCTCGTGCCTGGATATAACACTACTATAGAATGGACTTGTTGTCCCAGGCGGTAACGGTCTTTAGTCCCGGTTACCGCACCGGGACAACGATCCCGGGACTAAAGGTGTCATCTTTAGTCCCGGGTCATCGAGCCGGGACTAAAGAGGGACCTTTAGTCCCGGTTGGTGTTATCAACCGGGACTAAAGGCCCTCCAGCCGAGCAAACGTGGCCGCACCTTTTAGTCCCGGTTGGTAACCCCAATCGGGACTAAAGGTCCCTTTTCTTTTTCTTTTTTTTTGTTTAATTTGTTTTCAGTTCAGTTACACGTATTTGTTTAATATATAATATGTTTTTATGTACGTATTCTATGCTGGTAATATAAATACACGCACGCATATAATTACATCTAATTCTCATCTCGAGCATTATTATATTCGAATAAAGTATGAACCTATATATATTATAGATATATATATGTATATATACAACACTTTCATAATCTTGTTCTCGAAAATAACGATATCAATAAACATTTAATTTACACCATTTATTCTTTAGGATCAAGTAGAACTCGCCGCTGGGATTTAGCACTTTTTCTAGAAGAAATCCTGCTATTGACTCTTGAACTGCTTTCAGATGATCTTTTTGCTTGACCCTTCGTTTCAACCATTCAGTCTTGCATTTGAAATAAAAGGAAAAGTATTAATACATATATATATATTCATTTAAAAATAAATAAAAAATTAATATATACGTACTCTGAGGATATCTTTAGGAGTTCTTCTTATGTGCGCAGTGATAAATTCACAAACGTAGTATCCACACAAGTTATTACTTGGTTGCTGCCGAAAACACCACTGTACGAGAAGAAGATTTTTCTCATCATCTCACACGTAAATTGAAGTACGATATAGTAATTAAACACGTGGGGAAGTGTATATAGTACAACTTACTTGTATTTCAACTACATTAAGTGGTGCCTTGCAATCCTTGTGATGTTGCCGAATAAACTCTTTCCAAACCCTGTGCGACCAATAATGTATGATCGTTAATAAATTATGGCAAAGTCTATTCAATAATAGTTGTGCGCGAGAGATCGAAATTACCCCTGAATAATGTCTATCATATCTTGGTATAGTGCCCGCTCTTTTCTCAACGAGTCAAAGATTACTAACCGACTTGAGTTTAACTCAATGACAATGAGTATCCAGTGAAAACTGCATTGGTTTATACACACACGTACATGCATATAAGTTGTATTGATATTACATAAAATGTGTAGACTACATTATTATTAACACTTACTCAAAGTTATACGGGAAAAATATTGTTGTCTTGTCGTGCTGCTTCACGAAGAACATCATGATATTCTCCTGTGCTTTAAATACCCACCGCTCCTTGATAATAATACCGGTTTTGAATACGATATGAGGATCAATGAAGCCAACACTGGTGTCTTGTATTCTTTGGAGCTCTGACATCTGGAATATGTATATAAATATAAGTTACATGTGAGGATAATTATATACACGTACGCATGGAAGTAAGTTTATTAAATAAAAGTAAGAATCACTTACAAACAAAAGGAGCTAATGATTGATTTGTCCAGAGCGTACAAGTGGTATAGTTGATGCAATTCTTCGAAACTAATATGTAAGATGTCATCACCACGGAAGTAATGATGGTCTCTAAATCTGACAAAAATCCACTGCTCACCCCTGCCACACGCTTGCATGTACCACTTGTTGAGGTGTCAATTATTTTTGAAGCCAATAGAAAATTAATGGAAAATAATATTTCATTCACTTTCATTCGTACCTAGGGTGAGGTAGGGGAAGCGGTGGCGCCCCAGGAATGATGATGAAGCGTTTGCGCCATTGAATAAATGTCTTCTCCGCTTCTCCTAGTGTCTTCTCCCCATCACCGCCTTCAATGTCAAGAGGAACATTGCTATAACCTTTGAGCACTCTATCGACCGAGACGCTAGCATATCCAGGTTGAATAACTGACCCATGGATTCTTGGTGTCTTCGTTCGGTCTATTGGAGATACAACCCCGATGTACCACCATGATTGATGCATTATTACCATCTGGAATGTGCAGCTCACATGTTGTTAGAGGCTCGGTAATGTCATCAACAGGGAAGCGCAACCCAGCATCGTCTTGAATAACTGGCAGCTCCGTAGAAGCACAACTGTTTTTCATCTGACCAACGGGGCTAATGGTGACTCCCGGCGTTGATTGCGATTGCATTTGACTCATTGCTTGCTGCACTTGCCTCCTGATCTCCTCCTACATTCTTGCCTCAAGAGATTTTTTTTGTTCACGTGATTCAAGCAATGCTTGTCCTGACTCATCAACAAATTGCTCCAATGCACGGATTCGTTCTGCCTCCTCATCCTTCTTTCTCTGGCGACTTCTATAGGTATCCTTGTCTGCTGGGAATGCGTGTATCCACGGAACCGCCCCATAGCCTCTTGTTCGACCACCGTGTTCGGGATTCTCTAGGGCATATGTCAATTCATCCTTCTCTCTGTTGGGCTCGAAAACATCACTATCAGCTTCTTCCCTAGCACGAGCTAGTCTCTGTGTTGCTCTCTCAATTTTTGGCGAAAATTAGCTTGCCGATTATGCCGGGTCTAGGCTTCCCCATGAGCGTAGAACCAATTCTTCGTATGCGTTGAGGCCGCTTCTTCTCTATTGTTTCGGTATGATTCCTTGGCGTGAATCTCTGCTTCTAGGTTCGCCACTTGGGAATAGCACTCCTATAACCACCGATCCCATGCGATGATGGTATTGTTTCCGCCGGGCATTACGCCAATTCCTCATCACACGTTCCTCACCGCCTTGAGATGTCTTGTATTCTACGAAGGCATCCCAATGGGACTCAACTTGACAAACGCCTTAGCATTGAAATCCGGTAAAGCATTCTTCGTGATAAACTTTTTATACAATGTCTTCTTCCAACTCGGAACAATGTTACCATCTTCTTCATTGTCCAATCCCTCACTAGCTCCTTCAAAGCATCATCCGCTTGTAATGTGAAATGCTAAGTGATATCTCTCCAAGCTAGGTTCTTGTCACGATCGGGATACAAAACTAACATTAGGGCGGATATCTTCGCTTTCATTCACGACGAGCACTGAATCGGGATCCTATCCCATACAATGAACCCACATTGATTGACATATGTCCGAGCATGTGGTCCCAATGGTTTGCCGGTGTGGGTGTTTAATTCGATATTATGAAATGGCCCTCTAATGGCTTTTTTGGCCCTCGGACTTTCCTACTTTTGTCGGTGGTTGATGTAGATCCAGAGACCGGCTACATGAGTAGAAACACAACGATTAACAACAAATATACGTACGCATGCATCTATAAGAGATGATAGATAATCGAATATACCTCGCCAGTATTTTCTTGCGCGACAATTTGTTGATCTTCAACCACCGGCATATTTAGGATATCCTCATAATCAGCAAAGTACTGACTCGTGTCATCTACATTCACATTGGTGCCGGCGTTGATAATATCCGCCATTATGTCATCATCTAGAGCAGCCATTTGTATCTTCAAAATAACACATAGATAGAATTACTATGGTACATAACATAAGTACATGTGATAACACATATAGAATTACTAAATCCAATTAAATATAATAACACATAATATTTCATAAGGATAAACAATAATAAGGTATAGGCTTTGGAATCGAATCAAAAACACTTTCGATCCAAAAACATGGAAATAAGTACATGTATATATATACACATAGAATGATACAATATATTTTCTCTCTCTCAACACATAGAAATAAGTGCATATGTCTATATCTATAGATATGCATGTGATAACACATAGAATGTCTCTCTAGATACAATTTTCTCTCTCTCAACACATGAAAATAAGTACATGTATATATACATATA